AAGGTGGTTAAATATCTAGAGTTGGGATGCAGCTCAACTTGATGGAAAGCATTTTTAATATCTAGTTTTGAAAAATACTTTGCTTTTCTTATTTTCGGCAGCAAGTGGTCCATACTAGGCAATGGATGGTTTTCTCTGAGAATTGCTGTATTAGCTCGCCTCATGTCGACACACAGGCGTATATCTCCATTATCTTTTAATATTGGTACAATAGGCGACACCCATAAAGATGGTTCATTTACTTCTTCAATAATATCGGCATCTAATAACTCCTTTATCTTCCTTTTTATATTTTCCTCGATTGGAATAGGTATTCTACGATAAGGCTGAATTACAGGTTTTATGGATTTATTGATCGGAATCTGCACTAAAACATCTTTAAATTTTGGAAACGGCTTGATTAGTGCTTGATCAACGTGGTTAATGCCAACGCCCACTTTTAAAACTCCTAAGCGCATTGCTGAATCTTTTCCTAATAAATTCCTGGATCCGTTTTGTATGACATAAATAGTGCAGGGATCAGTTTTTCCATTTGTTCTAATTTCAGTTTCAAATGAACCTTTTACATCTAAGGGTATGCTACTGCCATATGCCAATAATATTTTATTTGGTTTCTTTGTTTGATTTTTACAACTACCTTTATTCATTTTCAAATATTCCCATGCTTTTTCAGCTATTAAATTTGTTTTACAACCCGAATCAATTAACATTTGTAGATCGACGCCACCTATGTTACACTTTATGGTTGCGTCGTCATTTACATTAAAAATGTAGTGAAAATCATCGTCTTCCAAAGTATTGACTGTAGAATCCCTACGGGGTTTTTTGTTTCTATGATTTCTTACGTCTTCCTCTTGGTCATGTTCTATTCTCCTTTTAAATCGGTTTATCTTTGTTTTACAGCATCTTTGATAGTGTCCCTTCTTCCCACACCCGTGACATTTTTTTTCTGTGGCTGGACATTTTGGTTCCCCAATATTGTGCATTGCTTTTCCACATCTTCCACACTTAAAATTTCCTGATCTCATTTCAGTTTTCTCCCACTTCGAAGTATAGTCTCTACTCTTACTTGTGACTGAATTTATCTCGCTGGCCTTTTCTTTCCGTTCATAGCTTTCTAGTTGATAGTTTACTACCTCTAATGTCTTTGCTTCTATGACCACCTTGTCTAATGTCACTGCATCCCCCATTGTTAAGATCTTTTTTCTGAGCTCTACAGATGTACATCTTTCTATTATTTGATCGATAATATGATCATCTGGATTGTCAAATTTGCATTTTTTAGCTTGATCCCTCAATTTTAAAAGAAATTTTTCAAAATGTTCACTATCTTCTTGTTTGATTGAACGAAAAATATGTCTTTCATAAGTCTTGTTTTGTTTAGGGAGGAAATAGTTATCGAGCTTTTTTATGGCCAGTTCAAAACTATCTACTCCTTCCTGTACTGCGCTAGTGTCTGGCAAGTTGTAAAATATATCCTGAAGCCCGGTTCCGCCTAACAATAGCAATGTTGCTCTCTTTTTATTTGGACATTGTATATCGGCTGCTTCGAGATAAATTCTTAGGGATCTTTTCCATTTCTCCCATCGTAAGCCTACTGACGTGCTGTCTCCATCTAGCTCTAGTTTTTCCGGTGACGGTAACAAATTTGACATCCCGAATCTTTACCTGAAAATAATTGCAATTATTCCAATTTAATGGTGATCAATATCTCCAATTTAATGGTGATCAATATCTCCAATTTAATGGTGATCAATATCACCAATTTAATGGTGATCAATATCTCCAATTTAATGGAAATCAATATCTCCAATTTAATGGTGATCAATATCTACAATTTAATGGAAATCAATATCTCCAATTTAATGGAAATCAGTATCTCCAATTTAATGGAAATCAATATCTCCAATCTAATGGAAAACAGTATTTCCAATTTAATGGAAATCAATATTTTCAATTTAATGGAAATCAATATCTCCACTTTATTTGCGAGAACAACGATATGAGTGTAGTAATTGCATTAGCGTTTACTATAATTTAGTACCCGGGTATTTAAATTCACAGACTAAAAATGTGATATGTAATCAGACACAAATGAAAGTTTTTTATTGCAATTTAAATATATATATATATATATATATATATATATATATATATATATATATATATATATATATATATATATATATATATATATATATATATGATAAATCCTTCCATTTTAATTTTAAAGAAGCTAAAATTTATACTTTAATGAATATATTATTTAAAAATTCTCAAGCCCGGAAGTAATTCTTAGTAATATTGAATATTTTATTTGTTCACCCTCTTTTCTTTTTGTAAAAGATAATTGAAATAGTTCTTTCGTTATAATTAACAATCATTTAATACTTTAATTTATACCTATTTCTTTTACCTCGTCGCCACTTGTAGAACTTTTATAGAATAATATTCACTACACTTAACACTGGCTCACTATAACACCAAGTCCTGCTGGGTACACGTCCTACCTCGGAGCACTCCACAAGGCAACTGCCCCCGGCACTCAGTGCAACAACCGAATGACGTGTTACCCCCCACCACTTGTGTATATGAGACAGTGTATTGAATCTATTGTATAGACACAACACTACAGTACTAGTTATGTGATTTCAAATATGCAAATGTGTATCATCTAAGAATCCTTCTTATTAGTTTACTAATAGAACTCTGTTGGTATAAAAACTTCTTTTTAATCTCAAATAACACACTGGGGCAGCGAGGCGAACAACTTCCTACATAACCCATACAAAAACGAGACTATTCAACTGAGATTTACTTTTTTTGCATGTATATAATAAAATCATTAACACATCCTTTGTCTGTGCATTTGTGCACGCTATTCTACACAAATGCTGAAACAATGTGTGCACTACCTGAATAACAATTGCATATGTTATTCAGTTAGTGCACACCAATATAACAACCAAGCAACACTTTATTCTGTACAATACGCACTTAAAAATTAGCATATCTTTTTATTTATCAATATTAGCTCAACCCTATCTCGCTATATTACTAAAAACCAGATCCAAAAAAAAACATTGTACCTTAGACCACATAGTATGTTAAACATGCTAAATAAATTATTGATAGTAATAAGATAGCTAAGATACCATTTTTAGGATTACTATCATCGGCAAAAGCAGTAAAATCGATCCTTACACAAGATAGCCACCTATTTCATAAAATTATCTGTATTTACAGGCACAGAAGGTAGTGTTACTTGAAGATTTAGCAGCGCATTTCAAATTGAAGACGCAAGCGGCCATTGACAGAATAACTGACCTACAGGCATCTGGAGAGCTAACGGGAGTGATAGATGACAGAGGAAAATTTATTTACATTTCACAAAAGGAATTAGAAGATGTTGCCAAGTTCATAAAACAAAGAGGAAGAGTTTCCATTACAGATTTAGCTGAATCAAGCAATGACTTAATAAATCTAAATCCAGTTACTGTGTCATAACAATTAAATGCTCTCTCAAAAATTTGTTACATAATATTAAACATTAATACATTTATTTTTTTAGTGTACATAAAAATTTAAATTAATCATCAGTGTTTAATTTTATAACTGTAAAACCCTATAGGCAGATAATTCTCTCCAAAAGTTTGTGTAAAGTATACTTGAACCAATCATTCATATCTGCTACACCTTAAATAACAATCATCTTTATTTCAACAAAAGATTCAATCAAATGGTGTGACATTGCATAGATGTAAATTAGCAAATTAATTATAGTAAAAGAATAAAAAATCCAAATTCAGATTTTATTGATTACAAACTTTGTCTGCATTGAGCTACAAATATTGCAGATATTATGTAAATTGGCCTATGGGTTACGGAGGAGATAGATTTTAAAGAATCGTTTTCTTGCGCCATGGGAGCTCCGCTCCAATCAAATTAAGATGCCTTTAGGAAGTGACAACTAATAGAGAAAAGGGGTGTATGACAGTATCAAATAACAAATGCGATAACACTGTTAATCATCCTCTAATAACAGTGCTAAGAGTATGTAATAATATGATGTCAGTTTATTAAAATTATAATTTCATACCCAAAAAAAGAACAAGTGAAAAACGCTACTGTACTCTTTACATTATTATATATCTCCGTTTAGTTAGTTAAATAGTGACAAACAAGCACATAGTTCACCTGATGGTATAAGAATGCTGTGGCACCTACATTTATCTTTAATTAAGAATCAAATCACCATGAGAATTAAGATGAAACACCAACTACAAGTGAAGAATTTGGTTCTCGCCAGTCACTATATCATACAGCATGCTGCTGTTTTATGGTAGTATTCCTGCAAGAATGTGCTCAATACCCAGTCAATGTGACTCATTTGTACCGCACCCATAATATAGTTGCAGAATGGCTCTACCATGTAAGCATATTATTGCACTTTAATTATGTTTATTTTGAATCTATTTGATATATTATGGATAATCTAACTAAAGATGTTCACTTGCTAATAGACTTTTCATCTTTAGCCAAATAAAACAGCTGCAGCACACTAAGTTTTAGCCATAAATAAATTGAATACATTGGCATATTTGATTTATTAGTTTATAGATGTAAGTTTAACAAAATTAATTTAAGATATTGTTTATTATACTTATTAAACACTTCAAGTCTTGTATTTATGATTGATTAATCCTTCCATTTTCATTCACTTTCACGTGTTTAGCCAAATAGGTTGAGATTAAACTTCAGTTCAGACAGCTTAGCATGAAAAAGATAATATCCGCCTATGCTCAAAATTAGAGCAAAATTTAACTGGCCTTAACATATATAATAACATGTCACTTTATGTAATATTTTCTTTGCACTGATATTGAAACTGAAAAGAATTTCTTATTTATCTGGGATGATAGATAAGTATAATGAGGGTAGAAATTGTTAATACTAATTTATTCAATACAAATATTTATTAAAATTAAATTCAAACAAAATTATTCATCCAATTCATAACCAAACATATCTCTTCCTTTCTCTAATAAAACTAAACTCGATTCTTTGATCATATCTAATACCTCCACAAGTTTAGATTTAGTGAAAACTTTATACAAACATCTGTTCTCAGCTGCAATTAAATGACTTAGTTTGACTGCTTCTTTGTGACTATCAATGTCGTCATTACTTTGCAAAATTTTTAAAATTAAAATTACAATTTCTGGAATACAAAGACGTCTTAGAGTTTCCAGTTGCTTGGCTCGTTCTTGCTTTTCCTCTTCTGTAAAGTATTGGGAAGAAGTGCTGTCATTTTCATCATGAAGCCATCCTCCCGGGAAGAGCAAAACATTATATAACAAGTTCTTGGCATGACGAGACTGATGGAGAACAGCATTCCTCCAACGTACTTTCTGTTGCTCCACAACAGCACATCTTTGCTCATGATGAACTTTATCTGAGAAAGATGCATCTGATGGTAATGGGTCTACATCTTTAGGCTGTCCACTTACAAAATGTCTGTACCAAGTAGCAAAACCTTCAATAGCTTCCAGATAAGCTTTCAAACACAAGTGCTCTCTTAACTCCGAGGAATCTGGTGCAACCTTGCTTACAAAGCTGGGAAACATTTGACCCACACTAGCAACACATGCTAAAGAAGCATCAGTATTGCTAATAAAAATAAATGTTCTTATTATTGCATTGCTCAACCATAAAGCTTCAGTAAGCTGGTTATCTACAAGTGAAAGCCATTCTAGTGAATGTATGACATTTTGTATTAATGTTTTGTCCTTTTCAACAACAGTAGGCTGAGTAAATGATAATTCCGTGCCATAACCTTGTTGTATAGCAGCTATGGCTTTCTTTATGGCAACTCTAGCAGATGCAGCAACATCAATTCCTGCTGTCAAGCCAGCTTTAACTACACCCTCTCTGAAGTCACTTTTATGTATATGTTCCATCAAATTTGCATATAATTCTACTTGTCTAGGCCCTGGCACTGTTGATGTATAATAAGCTATTAGCTCAGGACATTCAATTGATCCATCAACCAAGGTGTCTATAAGTTGAGTAACATATTTTTCTAAAACTTTATCTCCAATATCATGATGAGGATCTTTGCCCATTAATCGTAACACCAATATCAAATGAGCTAGAAATCTTATAAATTTTTCTTCTGCACTTTCAAGCCAGTTTAAAGAATCTTGCATTATTGCCCTTATATTGCCCAACATGAGATGTCTTTGACAAGTTTGATAGTTGGATTCTCTTTTACCATCCATTAGTGCCTTTACTGCACTGAATATTTGTTGCAAAGAAATTTCTTCCACCTGCAACTCTGTTTGTAACAGCTCTAGGATATCTGATGATGTAGTATTAGCTTCTGCTGTAGCATGATGCTCATGAAGAAATGTATCAACCTTAGCTTCAATTTGAACCCGCAGGTGCGCCCAAAGCAAGTCCTCCCAGTTTCCTTGACAAACAGGAATAGCACTTGACAGATAACCACAAAGAATACCTATTGTAGCTCTATAATGCATATTTTCAGTAACATTATTGGCTATTCCCAATGCACACCACTTCCAAAGATCTCTTGAAGGGTTTCCAGATATTTCTACAGGAGAATTGCAATCTTCTCTTGGTAAATAATGAAGCAGTTGCCAACCCTGAAGTGCAGCCCCCCTCCATGCTTGGCCTGCACTTATACATAAAGAAACTGCTTCTTTAAATTTTCCACATCTGACTTCAGTAAAAATTCTCTTACACAAGTCATTATCATCTTTCTGGTCATCAGTGTGTATCGATCTTTTTTGCCGCCGTGGTGCATCAGGATCAATGCATGTAATCATGGCTTTGTTTTTCTGTTTGTTAAACAAACTGGTACCAATGAGTAACTCATGAAGTGTGTTACCCCAATGGATGTTGTTGCCTATTACTGGAGCAGAGGTCTTTGTAGCTTCTTCTTGATAAGCTGCAGAGGCTTCCAACCAATCTACTAACAACTGCATGAGGCGTAATTCCGAATCGCTCTCGAAAAGAGCTTCTACTAGTGTCTGCTGCGACAAATTTGTCTCAGTTATTATGCTTTCAAAAGATTCTGGGTGTTCAGATATTGAATCAGCATACAAACAATGTAAAAGTTTCCATGTATTAGCCTCCTCGGCTAACCAATAATTTTGCGCATTATATCTATTCCAAGGCTCGACTAACTCTAAGGAATCGCAACAAACTTGGGATAACCTCTGTAAAGTACCTAAGACATCACTTGGGCGACTTGACTGTATTATTTCAAAGAAAGGTTCGCTTAAGCTATCACCAACATTACCTGTGTTCACAATCATAGAAGACTCATCTATGATTTGTCTTAAACTTGTGTCATTTATATTTTTAAAAATAGATGTTTCATTTAATATTGGCGAAAGATTTAATGTATCTTCTCTAGGTAACAAACGCCTCGAACGTTTGTTTTTCAATGGTGTAAACTGAGTTGAATGAAGTTGAGGGGTTCTATCGTAGCTCATTTTCAATATTTTTTTATGTTGATTTAAATCTAGAAAAGTTTATAAAACTGAAACATTGCGCGCTGGAAATTAATTTGAAAATGGAAAGAATACAGATTAAAGAATACAATACAGACAATTCAAACCTCCATGATAGTTACTAATACAACAGATAACAAATGATACATTTATAAAACGAACGAGCGTTTGCAAGCGGTTATTTATTCAGATTATTTTACACAATAAAGCAGGTATATAATATTGCACGTGTGAATTTTGATTACAATTGTATAAAGGAATAATTTAAATCATCTATCAATGATCAGAAATTATGAGCAAACGTAAATAATATTGCAATTCCTGTTTCACTTAAATAAGTAATACAGTAATCGCAAAAAAATATAAGTATAAAAACAATTTTATATTTAAAAAAGCATTTTTGTATGTGATATGTGTTTAAAATTACAGCATTTTTATTTTTATTAATATTAAATAATTTATTATTTGCAATGTTATCAGAATCAAGCTAAAAACGCTTGTTAGTAACAGATTAGGAAAAATTAATAGTGCATAGTAATTTCGTAGTACAATAATTGTTGTAAAAATTTACTGTAATATTACTAACAATTTTCCATTCTTTTAAAAATACTCATATTATTTTTTAATTAATAAAAAATTTTCATTCGTTACAACTTATCAACTTGATCAGTGAAATTATTTCAAGACAAAAGAAGAGTATATATGATGTTAAAATATATGCCTATTTTAGATTTTTTTTTCATTTTTAATATTTTAGAAATAACAGCACATAATTTATCCTATTTATAATTATAACTAAAGTTGTTATAACTGAGGAGGAATTTTTCACAACTATACACAACCTTATATCCTCATTCCTCATTTCCCTCCCTGCGTAGTCGTTGCGTGCAAAGGTAAGGTAATTTACAAAAATGTAATTTTATTTATAACGTTAAAAACGAAGCATTTATTTACAATAATATTATGTTGTGATATAACTATGATAATTTTATGATTTATGTTAATTTATTTACTAGTATTTATGTTTTTTTAAATATTAATCTCTAGTCCCTACTATGATAGTTCTTGAAAGTTGTGATATGGTTTGTTACTGCCTTGGTTATATTAAATTTTAAGGAAAAATGCTACTACATGTAATCTAACTTATTTAATTATTATTGAAAAAATAATAATAATATTTAAGATCTTAAAATATATGAATTGTGATAGAATGGATTTTTCTTATGGAAAGGCATATTGTTTTTTTTTTTCAATAATATCAATTTTGTTTAAAGATATCTTTAAGGACATTTTATAGGTAAGTATATAAATTTTCGTGTTTTGCGTTTTGCTAATGCTCTTAATTACAACTTTACAATTATACCAAAAGAAGTAATAGCATGAACTCAAAATCAGAGGTAGTAATGAGTTCAAATCTTGAACTAGATGCACAATTTTCTTTTGAATATCACTGACTTAATAGAAATATCCATTACTTTTAAGCTTAATTTTGGTATAATATAATGCCCACAATATAATAAACATAAACTTTGTCAACTCAAATAGATTAAAGCTAAGGTTTTTGTATCCATTTACTATTATTGGTTAATAGTAGTGTTTATTGATTCAACTATTTCAATGGTGCCACCAATAAATATATCAAACTAAATGTTTTTGCAAGAAAATAAATTATACAATATATTATACAAGTTTTCTAGATGCTGCATAAAGGCACATTAAAATCTAATGTATTAGAGCTTTCAACTGTAGCAATATTGTTTTTATGTGCTTAGAATTTACATGACACATAATGCAATTATTAGGTTAAAAGAGTAGCATCAATTATCATTTAATATATTCTGAGTGTCAATTTAATATGTGGTCCAATTTAGTATGTATGAGTTCAGGAAAGATGTAAAAATATTAATTATAGTAACATAACAAAAGTTCTACTGTGGATGGAAAATGAAAATTTATCTAAATATTACTTTGAGAAAAAAGATGTTTTATATTAATTATTATAACAATTAATGTGATTTGACATGTTAAAAATGTTAAACACATTTTAAATAGGGTAATAAAATCTTCTAAGTCAAAAGAAATTAAAATGGCATTATTTTTTATTGACTAATATTCAATAGAATACTTTCATATTAATAATCACTTTCTTATAATAATATTAAATATATAATATGTTTTATCTATTTTAATTATAGGTAAAACTTCAGGCACTGAAACAATAAATGATATGGATTTACATAATTTAAAACAAAGGTAAGAATATGTTAATCTTTCCGATAAATTAAAATATATGTATTACACTCACTCTTGTAAAAGAAATGAACGGTTATTTTCTTCTATAAGATATTTTAGTAGATATCTCTAGAGATAAGAATAAAATTTAAAGTTAAATAGCATTTTTTAAGTTGATGAAATCATTTTCAATCACTCTGTTTCATTCTTATTCGAAGTGATATTTTCTCCTTTACATTTTCAATAATTCTTAATTAATAAACTATTTGCCTCATATGTTATATGTGAGGAATAGATTTGATCTAAATAATTAATTCATGAATGCATTATAATTTGTAACAAAATTTTATAACTTTTACTTCATGTCTTCAAAATTCTATTGATGTTTTCCATAGTATTGTAATACTTGTTAAGTTCTTAGTAAGCTTATGAGAAATAGTACTTTTTTATTCAATATGAATTATGACTATTTGTGATTTTAACTATATTCAACAAATAAGTGGCACAATTTTATATATGAGTTACATACTCAGATCAATTTATCCAAAGGAAAAGATTAGTTTATTTGAGACATATAATCACAGGCTTTATCATCATCGTTATCATCAATCATCTATGATCTGTGTATTGGAAGGTAAAAAAAAGGAAAACCGTACTAAAATATACATTTGTTAATAATTTTAATACCATATATTACTATGACAATTGAATGTTTGTATGACTATGACAACCATTACAATTTTCTAAAATATATTCATTAAGCAAAAGAAACACATATATGGATTATTGAAATACATTATTGTCATTAAAAATGCCTATTTTTAGTAAAGCGTAACAAATTTTTATCATGGTAAATGGTGTGACACATTAACAATAGACAAAAGAATATGACGCGTAGACAAAGAATGCTATAGGATTCTCTGTCTACAATATGACGTAATACGCATTTACAAAGTTTAGTATTCTTGATTTATAGTACATAGTTTGCACATTAGGTAACTAAATTATTGCAATTTTATTTAATGACAATATTAAATCTAAAAATTTTAGAAACATTTTTCCATTCAAATGCAAAGAGTATAGTATAGTATACTCACTGGTTCGCTGGCGTTATATTTCCTTGTTTATTGTATTAGTATCTGTTCCCGTAAATGCACCGGAAGTGGTTTATTGCTTTATTTTAATGTCAATCTTTAAAATTACGCGTTCTAGGATTCAATTCAGCCGATGGGCATCTCTTTAAATTTATTTAAAAAAAATATTGCTATGAAATGCAGTCGTTTATAAAATTTCAATAAAGATTTCGTCATAATTTCATCAATAAAAGAGCCATCGTTGAGCTAAAGCGTGGCCGTGAAGAAAATGCTATCATTTGAATGTTTCATTTTCAAAAAAAATATATAAAAAAATTAGGAACAATTACCATATTCGTTATTTTATTTATTGTACTTTTTTATATTACATAAAGTCTAAATGGCTTTACGTTAAATTAATATAGTTATTTTATTTAATTCACATTTGACTTTACCGCGCAAGTACCATTCCATTATGTCATGTTATCTATCTCTTTTACACAACATATTCGTTCGGAGCTTGTAATGTTTGGTGCGGTCTACGCTACGTATAAATCTCTGAATTATATTGTTAAAGTTGAATAGTGTTTTGAAGCTTAAAATCCGCCATCATTATTCAAAAGATAACAATTTCATTATTTCAGTGATTGCTGCTTTAATAATTATCAATTCAGTGTTATTTATTCAACGAGACGCATCATTGGCTTCCAGTTAGTGTTTTAGAAGTCTATCATTTCCTGTTTCATATCGTGTAGAAACAAGCAACTGCGACCGCTAGCGTACTCTTTTCATTATCACGTGGGTCAAATTTCTAATAATGTGGTTATCTGTATCGAATTTTGATTATTTATCGTATATTTTTATCAAAAAATCACTGCATGTTGTATAAACACACAAAGACCGGTTTGTAATAAATGTTAAACATTGTGTTTTCAGAAGCGCGCCGAGCCGTTCAATCCCTTTCAATTTCGGCTTATTATGGAACCGGCGTGAGCTTAAAATTACAGACAATGATCGCTACGAATTGTCGTTCAGTGCAGTGCAGCTGTGTATTAGTGTTGTGAAGTGTGTTCAGTGCTGTTACATAAGGCAAAAATGTTTCATTTCGGAAGCCCGCCCTGACGCGTTTAGCGGCGTCCGCGGCGGGCGGCGCCCGGGTCATGGCCCCGGCGCTCTCCGTCGCTTTCCGAGACCACTACGACGCGATCGAAACCCTTGAAAAACCATCCTATCCAAGACGGGCGTTAGCGTCCGTCGATAACCTCGCAATACACATGGAGGAAGAAGACATGGGCCTCCAGAACCAACCTAGCCTTGCCAAAGATTCCCAAGAAATGGAGCAAATTTTGGTCGATTTAGGTAGTAGTGATCTTGCTCAGGCTGATTTGCTCCAGGCCATCAAGACTTTAGAATCTGGCGGTGATACACTATCTACTGGTGACCCTGACGTCATATTTCCGCTCTCTGGCTTTGATTTGACTGAATCAGCTGATTCCGAAGGAGATGCAGCTGAAGACAAAATAAGATTACTTCAAGCTAGATTAGAACGTAGATGTGCATTCCTACAGAGGCGTTTGAGGATATTACAAGCTAAAGCTATTGGTAAAAGAATATCGGAAGAAGTAGCACAGACTTTCGAGAAATCCATTCGAGGTGCGCGCAAAGATGGTGGTGGAAGGCCAATGGGCTTAAAAGCTTTATTGAAGAAAGTTGAGACTACCGCCGCATTGCAAGCGAGTGCAGCCTCTAAGACAGTTGTTGGCCCAAAATATTTTCATGCAAGTACATCAAAGGGTGATGCTTCAAGATCTGCATCAATTGGGATTGCTTCAGGAACTTTAAACGGCTTGGAGAATACAGCAGGAGCCTTACGTTCACATCTGTCAATGGTTAAATATCAACTAGACTCTGATGCAACTGCATCTTCATCAGGGGCAGAAAGCAATGATGAAGCTGTCAACTATAATAACCCTCAGCAGCAACATATGGCAATGTGAGTATTTTTTGTTTCTATATTATATACTTTCTACATTGATAGCCTTTGTCTCCTCTACAAATTCAGAAGATAGTAAACTTTGGTTTAACCTTAAATTGTTTAAAATTAAAACTCATCCAAATGTTTTGGATGAGTTTGTAGGCAATTCTTTAATTTATAAGTTTTATTTTTCAAATGTTTCTAAATATATTTTCTCTAAAGCTTACTGTTAACTTAAGCAAAACTTTTGTTATAAAATCATCTGTAGGCCTTATTAAATATTTCTGATGATTGAGATGGCTGGATAAAATCCTTCAAGCTGGGAAGATTTATTGTAACTGCCTCATTTTTGTTCATTTATTTTGTCATTATATATATTATTATTAATTATAACTATTTTTTGGTCTGTAAAAGTTCACAGTCAGGCATGGTATCTCAGTTGTGGGGAGGGTTTGTCTTAATTGTCATTTGCTTGGCAGGCAAATTAACAATAACAGTATGTTTTGCACCTTTCACACTGTTTTCCTTTGACTATCTAGATGTTTCAAATTCAACATAAACAAGATTGTTATACTGTCATCTATCAGATTATTATAATAATAATTAATATAATATAATTATATATTAGCAGGAAGGCAGTTGAGACACTAATAATGCCTGTATCCTGCTTTTGCCCTCTAGTTACTCCTTTTTGCAGTTCTGAAAATGATAATTTTTTTATTGGTTCATATTTTGAGATGAAACCGTTCTCTGGCAGCATATTCCACTGACTACACAATTACAGATGAAGTGCTTGTGAGGGGTTGTTTGAAAAGTTGGTACATGGCTTAATAAATTTTTATTAGAGATGGGCCGAATATTCATTTTATATTCGGTATTATTTGGCAGCTTTACCGAATATTCGGTTAAATCACCGAACATTTGTTAAAGTGGGCACTCAAATTGTCCACTGTATTGAAATGTACGAATTGAGTAATGCGATGTCTTTTACTGTTGAAAGTGTATTTTATTTATGGGTAAAATCTACTTACTTTATAATGCCTCAAACGCATAAATCTATACATTTATCTTTTTGAGGTACTGTGGATTTACTTCGGATTATGGCAAATAGAAACTTGATAAAATGTTTTTGTACATTAGTACATTTCACTTTACTTTGGTCGTCAGTTTCTCTAAATTAAGTCCAAATTGTAGATCTCCTGCCGCTCATTTTTATCATATAATTATAAATTTTCACTAAGAATAAAATTGTTACGGCTCTTTACTTTATTCACTAAGAATAAAGAGCCGTGGTAGCTCAGATGGTTAGCGCTCACTGTAAATTTCACAGTGTGCGAGCAAACCGGATTTGATCCCCGCTGGCACCAATTAAATTGTTAATTGCAACTTAAAGTGCAGATGTACAAAATTTTTTGAAAAAATCATGAGGAAACCTGCATGTCTGAAAAATAAGAAAAAAATTATTTCGAAGACATGTGAAGTTCACCAACAAGCATATTGGGGCAATGCGGCGGACAATTCCTTGCCCTAAAACCCTCTCAGAAATGAGCAGAGGCCTGTGCCCAGAGTGGGACGTATATAGGCTGTAACTTTAACTATTAAGAATAAAACAACGAAATACTTTTTTTATCACAAGAATAGTCAAAACATAAGCATATGCTGGCAATTTGCTCAGTACCAGATGATGCAATAACTGTCAGGTGTGGCGGGGAGCGAGAGGTAGGGTCCGGTGCTAATCCTGTGCGCTTTACTGTAATCACTTTCGACATAAATTGGTTAGCTCCCTAGGTTATCCTGCCGAATAATGTTCGGCCGAATATTCGTTTTCGGTGAAATCCATATTCGGCCCATCCCCAAGTCTATTTTACCAACAATTTTTATGTATTTAACTGAATAAATGTAATGTAATTAAATAATCCTTGATGGTTGAAATTAAGTAAGTAAATTAAAAGTTAGTGTAAATTGAAAACTTAAAAAAAAATTGTAGGTAATGCCTTTTGACCTCTACCTACCTTAAAATTTTTGATGAGCCACAAGTTCGCGAACTTACTCGCACGTCTATCCACCCCTATAAAAGATGTAATTTTGAAATTTCAAACTTAGATATTCCTTTTATTAAATTTTTTAAGTCATCTCATTTTCTGAAAACTTATTTCCATATTTTTATATGTAACTCACAATCTTCACTTAGTCTTTTATTGATTGGATGAGAGAATACTGGCCCTTTTTACTTCTGTGTCTGTTATACTGCCTTGAAAATTTCAGTTTTGGCAAGAAGACTGATTTGACTCAGTTATTTAGTGTTATATTTTACTGAATGGATGAAACTATAGAGTTTAGTTGCTGATCTTTGGCTTTGATTATATTCATCTAATAAATAAACAAAAAATATTTCATGTACTTCAATCTCATGCAAAAATTATTCTATCCCCAAATCAATCAATTCAATTGTATGTTTTATATGTGTTACCTCAGAATTTTTTGGGTGTACCAATTTTTAAGATTCTTTTTTTATCTGGAAGCTGGTGTATCTTGTGTGGTCCCATATAAATTTAATTTTCAGAAACAGAAACATAAACTTTTTTATTCAATGTAGATTATAACAATACTTATTGAAAGTCACTTTTTTCATTTATCACTGGTTCGCAAAAAAAAACCTCTGTCCTAGGAAGAACCAGCAAGAAACCCAGCGGGACTTTTTTTTTCAACACAACACAAGACAAATTAGAAATAGCTTGGTAGCGCTAGAGAACCCTTCCCAGGGGTTATTATCATCCATAAATTCCTTAATATTATAATAACCCTTTTTATACAAACTTAGTTTAATAATATTTTTGAACTTTGTGTATGACAAATTTTGTATATTTTCTGGGATTTTGTTGTAAAAGCGTATACATCGCACCAAGAATGAATTACTGACTCGGTGGAGTCGAGTAACTGGTACACGCTTGTGTCTGTTCCTAGTATTTACAGAATGAATATCACTTAATTTCGCAAAACTACTTTTATTTTTGTGTACGTACATTGCATTTTCATAAATGTATTTGAGAGGCCAGAGTTAATATATTAATTTCCTTAAATTTCTGTCTCAGTGACTCTTGGTTTTAAATTATATATTGCTTTAATGGCTCTCTTCTGTAAAATAAATATAATTTCAGTGTCAGTTGCGTGTCCCCATAGCAAAATACCATACGACATAATGCTATGGCAATGACTAGTAAACTATTCTAGCTGTTTCAACACTGGTAAGAGTTCTAATCTTTTTTACAGCTTATGCTGCAGAACTAAGTCTGCTAGCTAGTTTTAATATATGGGGGAGCCATTGAAGCTTTACGTCCAGTGTGATTCCAAGAAAAATGGTGGTATCAACAAGACTCAGTTCCTCCCCATTTAAAATTACATTAGTATTGACATGTTTAACATTAGGAGTTACGAATTTCATACATTTAGTTTTAGTTCAATTCAAATGCAAATTATTAACATTAAACCAATTGACTAACTTAGCTATAGCATTAATTACTTCGTCGTAATTTAATAACTGTCGTTTTAATTTGAAAATTAATGAATTATCATCAGCAAATAATACTATATCATGGTTATTCCCTACTATGTAAGGTAAGTCATTAATATACACAAGAAACAGAAAGGGGCCGAGAATTGAGCCCTGAGGCATGCCCATTTGTACAATCGACCTGGAAGAACTCATACTATTAATGACAACTTTTTGAGTTCTATCACTTAAATATGAAATAATTAATTTAAGAGCATTGCTTCTTACACCGTAGTGTTGAAGTTTCCTGATTAATGTTTCATGGTGAACAAAAACGAAGGCTTTGGATAGGTCACAGAATACACCCAAAGCATCCTGTGAATTCTCCCATGCATTAAATGTTTATTTAATCAGCTCAACACCAGCATCAGTTGTTGAGCGACCCTTTGTGAAACCAAATTGATTTTTATGAAGTAAATTATTTCACCGATGGAAAATCTAAAAACGAAATTGATTTTATTTTAACAAACAGAGTAAGGTATTTTAATGATGCACAAGTTATACAGAATTTGAATTTCAACACTAACCACCGAATGGTGCGCGGATGCCTAAAGATGTATCCAACAAAAAAGTCGAGGAAAGCTATAACAAACACTCCGATATTTCTACAAGAACGGTACTCGAAAAATATTGAACCGGCTCACATCATGCCACTACATGAAATTGCTAACTCCGATTTGAGTGTTCGAGTTAAATATGAATACCTGGACAAGAAACTATCAGAAATTAAGAAAATAATTACGAAAAAGGACAGGAACAAATTCAGTGACAAAACAATAGAGCTGTTAGAAGAAAGAAAATTACTAATTCTAAATAAAAATAAAAGTAAAGAAAACCTTAACAGAATTTCCAACCTTAGCAAACAGAAATGGGAAAGTATTAGAAAAGACAAGGAAGATAAAAATAATTAAAAAACTAGAAGACAATTAAAAGAACAGGCGGAACGAAAAAAGCTTTTAAGGAGTTAAAGGACCATGGAAAGGAATGGATTCCTAGACTTAAAAGCAACAAATCGAGTCATGTAACAAAACGTAAAGAAAAACAGAAATTAGCTACGGAATATTATAAAGCTCCCTACTCGAATATAGATGAAGACCATGAATTAGAAACCAATAAGTCGCCAACAAATAGATATGATGACGTACCGCCCATACTTATAGCAGACGTAAAGAGACCATACACTTCACAAAAGACCCAAAACGACATACTCAAGTCGGGCGTCATTCCAAATCAGTGGGGAGAGTCCCACATAATTCTCCTGCATAAAAAAGGGCCTAGGGAAGTTATTGACAATTATAGACCAATTAGTTTGATCTCAAACGTCTATAAGGTGTTCGCAAAAGTATTGCTAGAAAGAATTCCAAAAACTCTAGATACAAATCAACCCATAGAGCAGGCAGGCTTCAGAAAAAACTACAGCACAATTGACCACATTCACACTATCAAACAAATATTGGAAAAAAGTAAT